ATCAATCCCAATCATTTACTTCCCCTTCATATTACCCCTCTCGTATCCCCGTGGCAAATTTTATAGGCAAATTGGGAAACCCTTTTCCAAACTAATGTTTTTTTTGGGTTCCCTTTCATCCTCATTGATGAGCTTTTTACACCTCTTCTCGTCCTCCGTTTTTAAAAGGCTTCTCTTCTTACCCCAAAATTGGGGGGCATTTTTCAGAAATGCGTGCCTGGTGGTTCCCGCTTGTGCTGGCAGTCAGTACGTTTGAAAGCGCTGCATGGGGCAGGTACCCGGTACGAACCCCGGAGAGACTTCTTTTATTTTAAGCGAAGCGGCGATCGCTCGCCCTGTCATCCGTGACGCTAAACGCACCCGGGGGATTTGTTTCCCCCATCACCTCTGCTTTCTATGAGGGTCTGGAAAAAAGTACAAAAAATGAGTGGTAAAATATTCTCCCGACCCGGTCCCGTTCTGGGGTTGCCGGTGTTGATATAGCAAACCCACTAGATGTTGCCAATGAAAAATTGGCAATTTATCTGGTCCGTATTTTTTAGGGGGTCCATCTATTTCCCCCCGTTTCTTTCCCGAAGTTCCAAGATTAGCACCCTTGGACTTTTCTTTTTCAGAGAAGAAAGTTAAGTGCCTTTTTCACTTAAGAACTAGAGGCAAACTTCGTTGCCCATCTCGGCAGTGGGCCGCGACATTCTATTCGTAGTACAAAATTTCATCAGTCAGCCCTTGCAGTCCTTTACGCCTTTTCAATCTTATTTGGTCACAAGGAGTTCTTCCACAGCTGTGGAAATCTGCCATTGTTCTCCCTTTCCGCAAACCAGGCACTACGGGACATGAAGCCTCCCACTATCGTCCCATTGCTCTTACCAGTGCAGTTTGCAAAGTGATGGAACGCCTGGTAAATAGACGTTTAGTGTGGTATTTATTGACACACAACAGTCTCTCCACTCGTCAATGTGGCTTTCGTAAGGGGCGTTCTACCATAGACCCCTTACTACGCTTGGATACGTATGTTCGTAATGCCTTTGCGAATACCCACTCAGTTATTGCCATATTTTTTGACCATGAGAAGGCTTATGACACAACTTGGAGGTATAATATTTTGGCCCAAGCCCACTCCTTAGGCCTCCGAGGCAATATACCATCCTTCCTTACGAACTTTTTAACTGATAGACATTTCCGTGTTCGGGTTAATAATGTGCTCTCCCCGGACTTTATCCAAGCTGAAGGTGTCCCCCAGGGATGTGTTCTGAGCACAACACTTTTTCTCCTTGCTATTAATGATTTGGCCTCTATGTTGATGACTTCGCTATTGCCTGTGGAGGCGCTGACTGTCACCTCATTACAGTTTCTCTCCAGCATGCGGTCGACCGTGTTTCCAATTGGGCCACCACACATGGGTTTAAATTTTCCAGCGCTAAAACCCACCAAATTACTTTCACTAGACGCTCTGTCATCTCCTATCATCCTTTGTACCTCTATGGCTCCCGTATCCCTAACGTGATACAGTCAAGTTTCTGGGCCTCCTCTTTGACCGTAGGTTATCCTGGAAACCTCACATTACCTCTCTGAAGGCAACTTATCACAGCCGGCTGAACCTTCTTAAAACCCTTGCTCATCTTTCATGGGGAGCTGATCTTTGAACTCTCCTTCGCCTACATTCCACCCTCATTTTATTGAAACTTGATTATGGTGACCAGATCTATTCAGCGGCATCTCCTGCTACTCTCTCTAGCCTTAACCCCATTCGTCACCAAGGATTACGTTTATGCCTTGGTGCTTTTCGCTCTTCCCCTGTTGAGAGCCTCTATGCAGAAGCGAACGTTCCATCCTTATCTGATCGCCGTGATGCCCATTGCCTTCGCTACTATGTACGCTCTCATGATCTCCGCAATCCTTCCATTTATAGAATGGTCACTGATATTAGTAGACATTCTTTATTTGTTCGCCGCCCCTGTTTACTCCGTCCCTTCTCTCTTCACCTTCATTCGCTCTTGTCTTCTCTTCAATTACCATCTTTCTATGTTCATGTAGCATCTCACTTCTCCCTACCCCCTGGGAAGTTCCAGCTGTTTGAGTCTGTTCTTTCTCTCTCCCTTGCTTGAAAGCCCAACTGTCTATGGTCGCTTCCCACTCTCTCTTTTTCTTGACCACTTCCACTCTCATTCTCATGCCATTGCTGTGTACACAGATGGCTCTAAGTCTTCTGACGGTGTAGGATTCGCAGCAGTTTCCGGACAGCGTCGTACGAGGGCATTTACTATCTTCGGCTAGTATTTTTACTGCTGAATTGTATGCTATCCTTGCAACACTTACCCGTATTGCATCTATGCCTGTGTCATCATTTGTGGTTGTCTCAGACTCCCTTAGTGTTTTACAGGCTATACAGAAATTTGATACACCTCATCCCTTAGTCCTCCGTATCCAACTTTGGCTACTCCGCATCTTTACCAAGCATAAAGATATTGTTTTTTGTTGGGTCCCTGGTCATGTTGACGTACAGGGCAATGAACAGGCAGACACTGCTGCGCGGTCAGCAGTACATGACCTACCAGTTTCATATAGAGGTATTCCATTTACGGACTATTTTGCTGCAATATCTTCCCACCTTCACACCCGTTGGCAACAACATTGGTCTACTATGCTCAGTGACAAACTTCAATCTATTAAACCGAGTATAGGTTACTGGCAGTCTTCTTATCACCAGTGTCGAGGTTGGGAGGCTACTCTCTCCTGTCTTCGCATTGGCCATATACTCGTCTTACTCATGGATATCTCATGGAGAGGCGCCCTGCTCCTTTCTGTGAGAATTGCCAGGCTCCATTATCAGTCAGCCACATTCTGTTGGACTGCCCGCTTTATCAACGAGCACGCAGAATTTACCTCCGTCATCGTTTTCGCTCCGCTGCTCTCTCTTTACTTTCCCTTCTCGCTGATGGACCCACCTTTCATCCGGACTCTCTCATTGACTTTTTGACAACAACTGACTTACTTCACAACTTCTGATACCTTCAGCCCTTTCTACCTCAATCTCTTGCTACCCTCTACCCCTATACTATCCCCTGCCCCGCTGTTTTCTGTAACCTACTGATCATCCCTCCTCCCTTCTGCCCCCCAATACCCTCGCTTCCTTCCCTACCCTGCAGCGCTGTATAGCCCTTTTGGCTTAGCGCTTCTTCTTTTTGATTATAATAATAATAATCACTGTGTATGCCACTACAATTTTTAAATGTCTCAAACCAACCTTTGCTGGCCTTAAATTCACCAATATTAGCACTAGTTCCAAGCATTTTTTCCTGTTCACCTGGGTGTTAGTCGACTGGTGTGGGTCGCATCCTGGGAGACAAGATTAAGGACCCCAATGGAAATAAGTTAGACAATCCTCGATGACACACTGACTTTCTTGGGTTATCCTGGGTGGCTAACCCTCTGGGGTTAATTGTTTCTCGGTATTCTCGATAAGCCACACCAACAATGGTGCTACAGCAGCAGCAGCAGCAGCTGACCATGGTGCAGCAGCAGCTGATGGTGCTACAGCAGTGGCAGCAGCTGACCATGGTGCAGCAACAGCTGACTGTGGTACGATAGTATTTCTCACCCTTTTTACCACAGGGTTGGCACTAGAAGCTTTCTTTGGGCTCATGGTGGCTTATTTAGCAGTTAGAAGCACTAAAAACAATGGAATAATACAAAATATTCCGAATGTATGCTTGGAAGCGACCATTCTGGCTTGTAAACATTGGCACACCAACTGAAGGCAGGCCAGCTGAGGCGTGCTCAGGTGGACAGACATGTGGACAGGTACTGGACGAATGCTGTAGGTCGAGTTTTTCAACATATGTCGGTGTCAAATTTTTATGCTGAAAAGCATCGTAGGTTGGGGACACCGTACATCGGGGGTCCACTGTATTCTTATATAGCCAGACTCGAGTACTGGAAATGGGAAGTACAATGCCTGCACTTTAAAGTAGGGGTTTGGGATCACATTATACTGCATATGTGTTTATATTTCCACTGTGTCGGTATTTGATACCATTTATTTCCAGGGGTTTGGGATATTGGCAGTTTGGAGGGATATTTTATATATCTTTATACTACATGTATATGCTTCTACTATTGTATCTGGGTGCCTCTGCAAAGACAGTGATTATGTATGAGTGAGGTGAAAGTGCTGAATGATAAGTATTTTCTTTTTGGGGATTTTCTTTTTTTTTGGGTCACCCTGCCTGGGTGGGAAATGGCCGACTTGTTGAAAAAAAAAAATCTGCACAATCATTTTCGCTTTCACTATCTTTCCCTACCTTAGCAGCATCATGAGAAGTTTGTCCATAGAACAATATATAGCATAAAGTGATGCACATTTTTGTTTTATTGGTGAATAATGTGAGGCACTTTATTCATCAATAATATAAGCCATTTTGTATCTTTATATTCTCCACTTTCTTAACCAAACCTACTACAATTACTGGTACTGGTACCAGATGTATATTTCCAAGAGAAGCCTCTATTTTACTTTGAGTAAAGTTCTGGTGTCTGCTTGCCAATGTGAAAATGTGCTACCTGAGCTTGTTTTTCACCTACCATGCCCTGCATTGATCTATGTGGGCCTATATTAAGAGGTATTTGGCAACTCAAAGAGATGAGCTAAGTCCTAAAATAGAAGGACTTGACAAATCTGAAAACCCAAAACTGAAAAGCTTTATACATCTGACACAATCTGGTTCCCTGTGTCAATTTGTTGCACAGTTAAAAAGTTAATGTTCCAAAATGAAATAAAGATTAGATAGCATAAAAACCCTACACAATGTCAATCATGACCAAAACTTACTACATTTGTGTTATGATATTATAAAGAATGACAGATTTGTTACTTTGACATACAGTACTAACCTGATATTTTTTCGTGACACTAGTTGACAAATTATGAAATCATGATATAACAGGATAACATCCACTTATGCATTACCGTATTTCAAAAGACTAAATTACATATTACTTACTTTAAGGGTGACAGTTTCTTCATTTTTTTTAGTGAATACCACTCCTGTCCGGCTATAATATTTATCGAGCTTCTGATTAAGCGTCCACAGAGTTTGAATAAGCATGCCCTGCATGTCGGCATCCTCCTGCAGCATTTCCCGACATTCAGTCTTAAATGCAAAAGAACAGAATATGGTTAAACATTTCATGTCAAATTTTAGGGTCTTGAATATATCTTTAACTGGCAAACTAAGGTATGAAAAGAAATTACTTCTACAGATCTTTTGAAGTGCAATAAAGACTTCTCATTTTTTTTATTCAACACGCCAGTCATCTCCCACTGAGGCAGGGTACCCTCAAAAAAGAAAAGCTTTTACCATCATTCACATATAATCACTGTCTTTGCAAAGGTGCTCAGATATAACAGTTCAGATGTCACTCCAAATAGCAAATATCTCAAACATCTCCTTTAAAGTGCAGGCACTGTACTTCCCACCTCCAACAGCTAGGCAAGTCCCAAAAGCCATTTATCTCCATTCATTCCTAACACACTAACACGTGCTTGCTGTATGTCCAAGCTTATTGCACACAAAACCTCTTTTACTGCCCAACTCCATCCTTTCCTAGGATGACCCCTATCCCTCCACTACAGATTTATACACCTTCCAAGTCATTCTATTTTGCTCCATCCTCTCTTCAATGACCAAACCACCTCAACAATCCCTTCTCAGCCCTCTGAATAATACTTTTAGTAACTCCACACCTCCTAATTTCCACTCTATGAATTCTCTACATAATATTTAAACCACACATTGTCCTTAGACACACCTCCACTGCCTCCAGTCTCCTCTTCACTGCAGGATTTATAACCCATGTTTCACACTTATAAGTGTGCTGGTACCATTATACTCTCATATATTCCCTTCTTTGCCTCCATGGATAACATTCTTCGTCTCCACATATACCTCAATATACCACCCACCTTTTTTTCTTTCATCAATTTTATGGTTTACCTCTTCCTTCATAAACCCATCCACTAAAAAGTCAACTCCCAAATATTTGAACACATTCATTTCTTCCATACTCTCTCCCTCCAATGTGATATCCAATTTTGCTTCACCTAACTTGTTTGATACCCTCATCACCTTAATCTCGTCTATGTTCACTTTCAACTTTCTTCCTTTACATACCTTCCCAAACTTGTCCACTAACTTTTGCAACTTTTCTTTAGAATCTCCAAAAGCACAGTACCATCAGCAAAAAGTAACTGTTTCAACTCCCATTTTGTATTTGATTCCCCATAATTTATTCCCACCCCTCTCACCAACACCCTAGCATTTACTTATTTTACAACCCCATCTATAAACATGTTAAACAACCAAGGTGACATTACACATCCCAGTCTAAGGCCTATTTTTACTGGAAAGTAATCTCCTTCTGTCCTACACACCTTAACCTGAGCCTCACTATCCTCATAAAAACTCTTTATAGCATTTATTAACTTACTACCTATTCCATACACTTGTAACATCTGCCACATTGCTCCCCTATTCACCCTATCACATGCCTTTTCTAAATCCATAAATGCAACAAAAACTTCCCTGCCTTTATCTAAATATTCACTTGTATGCTTCATTGTAAACATGATCAACACATCCTTTACCCATTCTAAAGCCTCCTTGTTCATCTGTGATCCTGCTCTCTGTCTTACCTCTAATTCTTTCAATAATAACCCTACCATACACTTTACCTGGAATGTTCAGTAATATTTTTTTTTTCACCACGTTCGCCGTCTCCCACTGAGTCAGGGTGACCCAAGAAAAACTACTACAGGTACCATCCAACTTACGACCAAGCTTGGTACCGACCACCGGTCATAAGTCAAAATGGACGTAAGTCAAACCTTACTAGTGAATATCAACATCACACTTTTGTAATCATTTTATTTTACTGTTTTATTTTGATATTTCATTTTTTACTTTACTTTTTATGTTGTTAGTACTGTATTTTATACCGTAAGGTTTAGGATACACACTGTGTACAACACAAACAGTTGTTTATATCCCAGAAATTTGGCATAAAAAAACATGGTCGTAAGTCGAGTGGTCGTATGTCGAGCAGGTCGCAAGTCAGATGGTAGGTGTACTTACCTCCTTCAAGAGTAGTCCATCTTTTAAAATATCCTTCGCCGTGTCAAAGTTTGCTTCAACCTCTACATCATATTTAACAGGTTTCTTTAACTCTGGAAGATGTACCAGCTCTGGAGATTCTGATTTTCTTGGTGATTTACTTCTAGAGTGAACACTTCTTGAAGGACTTAAGGAAGCTAAACTGCATGAGCGACTCCTAGAACAACGACTCCTGTCTGAGCCAGAGATTGGTCTGAAAAGGTAAAAAAAAAAAAAAAAAAAAAAAAAAAAAAAAAAAAAAAATAATTTGTACCCTATTTCCACATTACATATTACAGGAAATGATGACAAGAAAATATTCAGTAACCCTGCACTGCAGTACAGTAACACTATCTACCGAGTACAATAGCATCATAGGAAATCAGTTACACTGTGACAATATTTCGGATATTTCATAGACTAAGTATAGAAGTATTCCCTGTGAACCTCTATATCTGATTTAAGTATTTACATAAACTTTTGTCTGATTGGATTTATGGGGTCAAACTCTCTAAACATATCCAGCAGAGTAACCAGTAACTTTTCAGGTCATCCAAGGCATGTAGATAAGGACACTCCAAAGCTAATGATGCCGTAGTACTTCAACACAACATTGCATCAGTGTAGAATTACAATACTGTATTGATGCAACAATGTAACACTGTAGTGATTGAATGCAATATTGAATCATTCTAATCCCTCGTATGATAATTTGTTTTAATTTAAAAGTACTCTCCTTGGAAGAGTAATGATCCCAGCACCTCTGCCACTTCTTCAAACATTTCTGGAACTCTACAACTTGCAATTTTGCTTGAATCTCCACATCATTAAAGTGTTGTTCATCAAGTGTTATTTTTATTTGTGGATAGAGAGAAAGTCACAAAAGACCACATCTGGGGAGTACAGAGGGAGGGGAATGAATGCCACTTCCCCCCCCCACTCAACTGCATCAGCAGGATAACTGTCACAGTGAATGAACCAATCACTGGATGCCCATGACACTCAGAAATTTCTTTCTCGTGTCTTCCCTCATAACTCTCCACAGTTTCTAGCTTCCTCCTTGCTGCAGCATTCAAAACTCATGCCTTACACCCATATTAAAATGTTGTTACCACTATACTCTGGTACATTTCCTTTCATTTTCATTTCAACACACCAACCACCCTTTTGTTCCCCCCCTCATATATTCTATGATTTGCCTATCTTTCACAGGTATAGCTCTTGCATTAAGAGTCCCTTGCCAGTATCTAGGATCTTCCATGGGGAACTCTGCCTCAGAAATGGGAGGCTCTTTAAGTCAACAAGGTGACAAAGAAAAGAGGAAGACAATTATTAGCCCATTCAGGGGCGTACTAGAACGTACTAGAACGCCTAAATTCTAGCACCTTCAAATTTAGCGAGACAAAGCTGGTAGGCCTACATACGAAAGAATGGGTCTTTATGGTCAGTGTGCACAGTATAAAAAAAATCCTGCAGCACACAGTGTGTAATGAGAAAAAAAAACTTTGACCGTGTTTTTGGTTTAAAATAGCAACTTTGCACTCTATTTTAGTATAGTATGGTAGTATTCTAGTTTTCCTGGTCTCATTTTATTGAATGGATTACATATTACAGAAATTGAGATAATTTTGATTGGTTTCACAATGAAAAGCACCTTGTAATCGAGCTCAAAGTAGCAAAAATGTTCAATTTTTGCCAAAGTTTAAAAGTAAACAAATCATGCCAAGCGTCCAATAACCGTCAACTGGTGAGTCTAATATTCTTTCACAAGTGTGCGCTGAAATTATTTATACCATTTCTACACTAATGCAGTAGTCTGCATAACAGTAAATCTTCTATTTTTTGTGAGAATAAAAATTCAAAGTGGAAAGCAAAAGAAATGTAAGAGGGGCCTGGGGACATGACTAAGGAACAGAGAAAATGTTATTTTAGTGCCAGGAATGTCTGTCTTGTCTATTCTGGACCCTATTTGGAAATTGGCATCTTTTGAAATTTGTGTGAAATTGGCAAAATTGCTAATTTCTGACTGCTTTATTGGATAGTTGAAATCAGTAAATGGGTGGTTTCTTGTACTCATTCGATAGAAAAAATGGAGTTCTAGCGAAATAGTTATGATTTTTGTCGACTAGTACACTGGAATTGGCTGAAAATAAGGCTCAAAGTGGGCGAAATCGCCGATGCGCAAACATCGTCGAGACCGCTAACTTTGCGAGAGCATAATTCCATAAGTTTTCAATCAAATTTCAAACTTTTGGTGTCATTATGATCGGGAAAAGATTCTCTTACCTTTTCACAAGAAAAAATAATTTTTTTTTTCTGAAAAATTTTCGACCCTGAGAACAAGTTTAGGAGAGGGCCTCTCGACCCTGAAAGGGTTAATGCAGTACCTCATTTTATTCAATCTCCAAACTGTATAATAACTTTTATGAACCAAATTTATTTCAAATATCTACTCTGGGTTACCAGTCTACTTGTACTGATGCCCCCCAACTTACCTTCCAGAAGGTTGTTCACATCCTGAATTATTTGTAAGCCGTTATTTTGCCATTTTTCTATCGTGACAATTATTATTGTTTTTAATATTATCATTATTATTCTCTGCGCTGTTGTTCATGGAAAACTTAGTACTGTACAGTATCAGTAATGTTGGGTTCTTAATACTAAAGCATATTTTAATAATAATTTTTTTTTTTCAACAAGTCGGCCGTCTCCCACCGAGGCAGGGTGACCCAAAAAAGAAAGAAAATCCCCAAAAAGAAAATACTTTCATCATCATTCAACACTTTCACCACACTCACACATTATCACTGCTTTTGCAGAGGTGCTCAGAATACAACAGTTTAGAATCATATACATATAAAGATACACAACATATCCCTCCAAACTGCCAATATCCCAAACCCCTCCTTTAAAGTGCAGGCATTGTATTCCCATTTCCAGGACTCAAGTCCGACTATATGAAAATAACCCGGGTTTTCCCTGAATCCCTTCACTAAATATTACCCTGCTCACACTCCAACAGATCGTCAGGTCCCAAGTATTTATTTGTCTTCATTCACTCCTATCTAACACGCTCATGCACGCTTGCTGGAAGTCCAAGCCCCTCGCCCACAAAACCTCCTTTACCCCCTCTTTCCAACCCCTTCGAGGCGACCCTACCCTCTTTCCTTCCCCTATAGATTTATATGTTTTCCCCTGTCCCTTCTACTTTGATCCATTCTCTCTAAATGACCAAACCACCTCAACAACCCCTCTTCTGCCCTCTGACTAATGCTTTTATTAACTCCACACCTTCTCCTAATTTCCACACTCCGAATTTTCTGCTAATATTTACACCACACATCGCCCTTAGACAGGACATCTCCACTCCCTCAAACCTTTCTCCTCACTGCTGCATTTACCACCCAAGCTTCACATCCTTTAAGTGTTGGTTCTACTATACTTTCTTTACATTCCCTTCTTTGCCTCCATAGATAACGTTTTTTGACTCCACATAACCTCAACGCACCACTCCCCTTTTTTCCCTCATCAATTCTATGATTAGCCTCATCCTTCATAAACCCATCCGCCGACACATCAACTCCCAAGTATCTAAAAACATTCACTTCTTCCATACTCCTCCTCCCCAATTTGATATCCAATTTTTCTTTATTTAAATTATTTGATACCCTCATCACCTTACTCTTTTCTATGTTCACTTTCAACTTTCTATTTTTACACACATTCTCAAACTCATCCACTAACCTTTGCAATTTTTTTTTAGAATCTCCCATAAGCACAGTATCATCAGCAAAAAGTAACTGTCAATTCCCATTTTGAATTTGAATTTAATAATTTAATTTAATAATTTAATAATTTTGAATTTAATAATAAATACTGTAATAAAAAACTTCTTGCCTTTTTAACCCTTAAACTGTCCAAATGTAAATCTACGTCCACGTGCGGGGGGCTCCGAACGTAGATCTACTTTTTTATATAGGCTTTCAAATGGGGAAAATCAAGGTCAGAGCGCTACACACGTGAACGTAGATCTACGTTTGGACAGTTTAACCCTTTCAGGGTCCGTCCCGTAGATCTACGGCTTTATGTTCAGGGTCCAAACCGTAGATCTACGCCATGAGCTCAGCTCACTCTGATAAACTGTGAGTGGTACATTTGGGCCTAGATATGAGAGAATACATCTATGTGGTATGTGTGCACCACATAAAACAGATCCTGCAGCACACTGTGTATAATGAGAGAAAAAAAATGAAATCATGATTTTTCGATTAAAACAGCAACTTTGCAGTGTTTTTTCGTATGTTTTTTATAGTTGTATTTGCGATTTCTTGGTCTCGTTTGATAGAATGGAAGACATATTACAGAAATAGAGATGATTTTGATTGGTTTTAGCACTGGAAATGGCTTGAAACTGAGCTCAAAGTAGCAGAAATGTTAAATTTTTGCCGATATTCAAGAGTAAACAAACGACCTCACACGTCTAATACACGTCAGCTGGTGGGTCTAATATACATTCACAAATTATGGTGATGATATTTATACAATTATTACAGTATTGCATAACAGTAAAATCTTCTATTTTTTGGTGTGAATAAAAATTCATTATGTGAATAAAAAATCAAAATGGAATTTATTTGTAAAGCCTCAAAACATAACTAATGAACAGAGGAAATGTTAGTTTAGTACCAGGAATGCCTACATTGTTCATTCTGGACCCTATTTTGAAATTGGAATATTTTGAACTTTGTTAAATTGGCCAAATTAACAATTTCCGATCACTTTATTTTGTAGTTGAAACAGTTGACTTGGCGATTTCTTGTGCTCAATCGATAGAATAGAAGTAATACTAGTGAAATAGCTAAGAATTTGGTTGATTGGAATAATGTAATTGGCCTAAAATGGGAGTCAAAGTCGGCAAAATCGCCGATTCGTAAATATCGCTGACACATCAAAATTCGCGAGAGCATAATTTCGTCAATTTTCCACCAAATTTCGTACTTTTTGTTTTATTACCTTCACAAAAAGATTCTCTACGATTTCATAAGAAAAAAATAAAAATTTTTTTTTTTTAAATTCTTGGACACTGGTGCGTGACTCAAGATTTGGGCCTTGGACCCTGAAAGGGTTAAGGATACAATAAACTTGAGGTGATGGATGAGAGGAAGATGGCAGGTTGTGTAGGGCTACTGGGGAAGAGGGCTGTCAACCTCATAC